CAATTATAATATAAGTTGGTCATGGGGATGGAAGTGCAGCATGGAGAATATAGCCAATGGTTCTGTTACATCTTTCTATGTTGACAGATAGTAAGTTGCACTAGTTGGGGTGAGGATTTAATAATGTGTGCAACTGTTGAACCACTGTGTTGGATACTTAAAACCAATATAATATTGTGTATCAACTATACTTCAATAAAAAAAAATACACCAAAAAAATAACATAAAAAATAAGTGATGCTAAGTCAGTTAAGGAATGAAGTTTTCAGAACAGTAGAAAATGAGAAGTAGAGCCACTCTCAGGGATATCTTGGAACTTTCTGTGCTTTGCTCAACACCCTTTTCTTACTCTTATGAAAATGTAGTCCTGCTGGTACTAATGGCTTAGCACAAATTTAGCTTTCTCAGTTCTGGAGGATGTTACCTAAGGAGAATGTCATAATCACTGCATGACCCATAAGATAATCAAAGGCCTACTAAAGGCAGTGATAGACCTCTACTTCAAACCAAGATGAGTAACAGGGTCCAAATGGATCCTCCCACTTAAACAACTAGCTAAAAAAAAAGCAAAAACAGAAAAAAGAAGCAACTGTTTTCAGACATTGAACAAAAAGAAGCATAGGGTTTGATTCCTGAGAGAAAAGGAACAGGTTGAGCCCCACAATTACATCAGTTTACAAACTGCCTATATTTGGTTTTCAGTCTGCAGCTCAGTGAGGTGGAATGTATAAGATTTGGTTGTCTCACTAGGTAGAGGAGACAATGATTAGAGTTTGCCAGGCAGCTAGTTTGTGAGATACAGTACCAGAGGAAAGGGAGTTCTGTAGAGAAAGACAGTTCTGCAGATCTGCAGAAGAGTCCCCTTGAGTCTGACTGAGTATTGATCCAGGTACATGGGAGAGAAAACTACCCAAGGCTACAAATGGGCAGAACAGTTTGCATTCTCACCAGTAAGAGTAAGAAACTCTTGCAGTACAAGGGGCATTGATTAGAATACTCAGAATGTGTATGACCTTAGTTGTGGGGCTAAATTAGCCCTGGCCTAAGGCTGCTATGTTTATACCAAACCAAAGCTTAAAAACAAGCCTAAAAGTATCTAGTTCATTATATGTAACGTAATTGCACATAAAAATAAAACCCTATTTATATGAATGATTCAAAATCCAGAAACTAACAATGTAAAATTTACAATGTCTGGCAATCAAACTGTCAAAGACCCATGACCACAAGAAAAATCATTCGGAAGAAAGAGACCCAAAAACAAGAATGATGTCACTAACAAAGATATTTAAATAGTTAATATAGCTCTATATTAACATAGATAAGTTAATATAGTTCAAGAAAATATGAGGAAACACACTATGATGAGGAAAGAAATAGAGGATATAATGAAGATTCAAATGGAACTTTTGGAGAAGTACAATATAAGAACTGAAAATGCAATGGATGGAATTTTAACAGATTAAACACTTCATAAGATAATACCAGTGAACTTAAAGACACAACAAAAACTACCCAAAATGAAGCACCAAGAGAAAAAAAATGAATAAATATCTGGGATAACATCAAGTGGCCTAACATATGTGCAACTGTGGTCCCAAAAGGAAATGGGAGATTTAAAAAATATTTAAAGAAATAAAAGTAAAAATTTTCTGAAACCCAAAGATCCATGAATTTCAAAACTTGCCAAAATTATAAACCCATAGATCCAGGAATCTCAATGAACCCCAAATGAATAAAAAATATAGAAGACTATGCCAAGGCACAGCATAATCAGGATTGCTGAAAACCAGTTAAAAAGAGAGAAATACTAAAGGCAGCCAGAGGAAAAGACACACATACATATATACACAGGACCAAAGATAAGAATTACAGCAGACTTCTCAAGAAACTGTCCAGGCCAAAAGAAAATAGAGACACACTTGATTTACAAGATTTCCCCCCAAAATATTTTTAATATAAGGTAAGCATTTATAAAAATAAATAAGGTGGTTAAAAACTATAATAAAATGAAAGAAGAAATGTAAAATGGGCCTTCTTCCCTTGAATGAACCAGTTTTCCTTTAGTTGGTCTAGATATTCTCTATTAAGATTAGCAATTCACATACTATTTTTCTGTTTTCAGAAAAGAGTGTTGAAGTCTCCAAATTGTGGATTAATATGCTGCTCCTTTTAGTTCTATCAGTTTTTGCTTGAAATATATTGAAGATCTTTGCTGGTGCACAAAGAATATTAAGTCTTTTGGCAAACTGACCCTTTCAACATTACCTACCGTTCTTATGATACCTACATAGTCTCATGATTGAAACAGTCACTCTGGCCGTATTTTTATTGGTACTTGCATAGTGTATTTTTTCCATCTTTAACTTAAGCTATCTCTCTCTGTATTTATATTTAAAGTGGGTTTTCTTTAGTCAGCATATAGGTAGGTCTTTTAATCAATCTGACAATCTGTGTTTAGATCTTCACATTAATATAATTATTGATATGGTTGGATTAAAATCTATTACCTTGTTAGTTATTTTCTGTTTGCCCAAAGAATACAAGCATATTCTTTTTCTTGTTTTCTTTTTACCTCCACAACCCCACCCCTTTTTCTGACTTTTTGAAATTACTTTTATGATTTCTTCATATCCTCATTATTATACTTCTTTTAAAAATATTTTCATAGTTGCCCTAGGGCTTATATTTTACATCTTTATCACAGTATACCTTCAAATAACATTATATTGCTTTATATGCAAGGTAGAAAAACCTTACAGCTATTTACTTTTAATTCCTCCCACCCAATTTTTGTGCTATCGTCACACATTCCTTTTCTATATACTATAAACCTACAATAATTTGCCACTATTTTTACTTTAGACAGGTAATTATCTCTGGAACAAATTAACTAAGAAAAAATATTTTTTTTGAGAAGGCATCTCTCATATTTATTGATCAAATGGTTGTTAACAACAATAAAATTCTGTATAGGGGAGTCAATGCTCAATGCACAATCATTAATCCATCTCAAGCCTAATTCTTGTCAGTCTCCAATCTTCTGAAGCATAACGAACAAGTTCTTATATGGTGAACGAATTCTTACATAGTGAACAAGTTCTTACATGGTGAACAGTACAAGGGCAGTCATCATAGAAACTTTCGGTTTTGATCACGCATTATGAACTATAAACAATCAGGTCAAATATGAATATTCGTTTGATTTTTATACTTGATTTATATGTGGATCCCACATTTCTCCTTTTATTATTATGATTATTTTTAATAAAATGCTGAGGTGGTAGGTAGATGCAAGGTAAAGGTAGAAAACATAGTTTAGTGTTGTAAGAGAGCAACTGTAGATGATCAGGTGTGTGCCTGTAGACTATGTGCTAATGCGAGCTAGACAAGGGCAATAAAACATCCATGGATGCAGAAGCTTTCTCTCAAAACAGGGGGGGTGAGGTTCTAAGCTTCACCACTGTTGTTCCCCAGTTTCTCACCTGATGGCCCCCCTGCGACTGTGCCTGTCTTAGGTTGTTCCTCCCTTGAGGAATCTTACCCGTCTCTGGCTAACCAGTCATCTTCCGGGGCCATACAGGGAGATGTAAAGTTGGTAAGTGAGAGAGAAGCCATATTGTTTGAAAAGGTTAGCTTTTTACTTCTTTGCAGATTTATGCCCTGTGGCTTCTATGCCCAGCACTTGTCTCGAGGTATCTTTACCACCTGGAGGAATTATGATACTCGGTAAATTCGATATGAGGCACGAATTCTATTTAAGGGTTGTAATTAGGAAGGAAGAAGAAAAGCTATAGATGTAGCATATGAAGGAAACTTGGGAGGATTGATTATTTCTTTGACATATCTTCTTGTATAGTACCTTAAGTATGTATAGGTTTTAAACTACTAACTAATTTGCACACACATATTAACATAATAGGAATACGGTGACATAAACAAAGCAAATCTATAATTACCATCCATCTCCAGTGAAGCCAAGAAAACCATTTAGGCACCCTAGGCATTTGTGAAAATTTATCTATGATATGATGGATATTGTCCAACTGTACTTGAACCATCAGACAAATTAAAGCAGCCCATTTCTGGGATCTGTTCACATCCCATATGTTCTTTTAACCATAGATAGTCTATAGTCATGAGATTTTGGAGTGCTACAACTTGCACCCCTCCCAACTCCTGGTTGAGTTCCAACAGTACAGATCCAGTCAAATTCGTTGTCTCACTGTATGCACATGCCAGCCTAGACATCTCCCTCCTCCTTCTTATGGCAAGTCCAGGAGACGGTGGGCTGGATGCAGCCACAACCGCAGCATCGTCCGGATCCCTGTGGAGGCTTTTTGATGATCATCCCCCGGCACGAGTCCTCCAGAGAGTGCTGATGCCGGAAGCTCCTCCTCATATCGTATCTTAGTTCATTTTCTGGGTATCCAAGCTAGGCCTTGATCTTCTGCGTAGAAACAAACAGACCCTTTGCCCACACTTTGACATGCCCTCTATACCACTGTGCAGAACTCATTGGAGGTCAGCACACAGTAACTGCTTTTTTTTTTTTTTTTTATTAAGAGAAAGGAATATTATCAGAAAAGAGTACCTCCATAGCTGATCATCTGACACCCTTTAAGTGATCAACATTAAGGATATTTAAAGCATGCGTTGATCTTTGATTTACCAATAGTTTTATCCTGTTAAGGAGTAATCCCCCTTTTCTTTCTTTCTTTCTTTTTTTTTTTAAATTTTTAATCTACACTTACCTGAAGAATACTATGTTTACTATGCTCTCCCCTATATCAGGTCCCCCCTAACAACCACATTACGGTTACTGTCCATCAGCTTAGCAAAATGTTGTAGAGTCACTACTTGTCCTCTCTGTGTTGTGCAGCCCACCCTCCCCTTTCTCCCTCCCCCCCATGCATGCTAATCTTAATACCCCCCTTCTTCTTCCCCCCCCTTATCCCTCCCTGCCCACCCATCCTCCCCAGTTCCTTTCCCTTTGGTACCTGTTAGTCCATTTTTGGGTTCTGTAATTCCGCTGCTGTTTTGTTCCTTCAGTTAGAAAAAATATTTTTTATGTATCACTTAAACCATTTCATAAGATCTTCATTTTGTTATGTTATCTTTCTGGTACCATAGTTCTTTTGTCTGAAAAAACTCCTTTAGCATTTCTTACAGGGTTGGTCCTGCTGGTGAAGAATTATCTTTATTTTATTTTCCTAAAAAAAATTTATCTTCATTTCTCCTTCATATTTGAAATGGAGATATGGAGCCTTATTTACCTCCTCTTGAGTGTGGGCCAGACATAGTAACTTGCTACTAACACACAGAATCAGATGGAAGTGACAATGTGTGATTTGAGAGACTAAGTCCTAAAAGGCACTGTCCTTCTGTCTTGCTGGCTTTTTCCACAGCAGGTGATAGAACCATCAAGCAAAGCCAACCTACAGAAAGGAAATAGTTGGTTTTTTTGAGCCACTACATTTTGGGGTGATTTGTTATCCAGCAGAATATACTGGAGTTCTCCGGGTTTCTTGGATGCTTTCATTATTTTTGTTAATATCTTGATCATCTCTTGAAATGCTGCTTCTCCCCCAATCTCTATTCTCTTTAAGGTATTCCAGTTACATGTTAGACTATATGGGGTTGTCCTACAGTGCTTGGATGCTTTATTTGCAGTTTTAAACACTTGGCAAATCATCCTTATCAGGTTCGCCTTAAAACAACAATCCCAGCTGAACAGAACCCCCTTCTCTGGTGGGATTCCATCAGGATGTTCTTCTAAGCTCCTAACTCTTCCCTTCATTTTCCCCAGCCTTAGAGGGGTTAGGTGTTTTCTGAATTTGCTGTCATATACTGCTATTTTCTTATCTTTTCAGTTAGGTAACAAGTTATCCTAATTAACAATTTTTATTAAAATTTTCTCTGTTCATATAACAGGTATAGTTTCTGTTTCCTGACTAAACCTTGACTGACTCGGAAATTGATACAGTGAGTCCCGGAAGACAAATCCTCAAAGATGGGAATTAGATCAGTTTAGTTGTGTCCCTGGACTTGACTGTAGTGCTAAGCTTCTTGCTAATATAAAGTGGAATGTTGTGATCTGTTGTAATGACATGGCAAAACTTTTAGTCAATATTACTTCAACTTACTTGATCACAGAAACTTCTGTTGAAAGAATCATCTTACAGGGCTAGCATTCCACAGAACAACCTTTGGGAAATGCTGGTTTAGCCATACTTTTCTATTCACTGTGTCCTCCTGAAACACATAAAGCACATTTGAGTTACCGCTTATGTTTTATCCAAACTGAGAATCTGTACTCATCATTTGAGCCTCAATCCACGTTTTATATCAAGTATTTGGGGCTTTTCCTGACACTGAACCCAAACACCTGCCCAAAGGAACTAGTTGGTTGTATTACTTTGTACATACCTCTAATATGATCATTGCTACATTGTATCATAGTTGTTTACTTACATGCTTAGCCCGCTAGAATTGGAGCTCTTTGGGAAAGAGTCCTTGTCCAATTCATCTTTGTACCTCCAAAGTTGATCAAGGAGTCTGGCATATAGCAGGTACAATTAATTTGTATGGGTATAATTCAGTGAGAATGATTATGGAGGAGAGCTATAGTTATTTACTCATTAAGAAAAATCTGAGCACTTAGAATTTGCTATTACAGAAGAGGATAAACAGACATGCTACATTATTTGGAATGAATTGTAATAACATTATTACTGTGTGTTACAATTTCCCCTCAAGAATAGAAATCTGTTTCTTTTTTTCCATTTTGCAAATCTGTTCACCTTAGATAAGCAAATAAGTACAGCTCAACAAACTTAATACTGAGCAATTACTCTGTGCCAGGAACTATGCTAAACCTTAAGTACATGAACATGATACATATGAATGCTTATAGTTTAATGGATAGACAGATTCACAGTCAAGTAAATTTCAGTATCAACTTGATAAATACAATAATGAAAGTATATATGACTTGTTGGAGTAGTTTAGCAGAAAAGATAAACTCTTTATGCAAAAGGTTATGAGGTAAGATTTGCTACAGATTTCTGAGCTGGAGTTTGAAGGTGAAATATGAGTTTTCTAAGCAGAGAAGAGGTAGGGGCATAAATGAAAACATGATGGCAAGAAAATAGTAAAGTTTTGAAGAAGTAAAAGCAGTTTCAGGAGTATTAAGCAGGACATAGTTTGTGGCAGAAAAGGAGACTGGGTATTTAGGCAAAGGCCAGAACATGGCAAGAGCCTCAGATGCCATTGTGAGAAACTTGGATTTATCTATCAGGCAATGGGGAGCCAGAGAAGGTAAATGGTATTTATTTTTCCTTTCCTGCATTAGGAAATTTGTACTACCACTCATTGAACAAATGTCTTTTGAGCATACAGAGTAACTCAGGCATTTTGCTGGGCACTGGATTATTTAATAGAGGTGTACTTTTAAAGCTCTTCATAAAGGACATTTCGGTTAGAACAATAATAGATAATAAAAGAAAAATAATAAAATAAGGTAAATAGCCCAGGTTTCATTTATAGTTTCTATCTTCCCTACTGATTCTTAGCATAACTTGCAGGACAGTATTTCTAACTCTGTTGCTAATGCCAAGACCAACACTTTGAATCATTTCTGCTAGGCAGCAGATTTTCCAGCAATCCATTTTATAAACTGTAATTAGTCTTCCATAAAGGGCAAATTATTTCCTTTATTCCCTTCCTAAATTTCATAGCTTTCATATTTTTGTTTTACATTACTATCTCTATATTTCTATTTAAAGTTAGCCCAAGGAAATTCACATCTTTTCAGCCTACTAACTCTTGTTATTTAAAATACACAAAAGAAAACAAGAAAATCTTCCAAAATGAAGGTAATAGGCTTCAGGAAGGATTAAGACAGATCCTGTAAAGAAGAAATAATGCAACAAAAGAGTTAAATTTCAAGTATTATCTAAGTAAGCAATACCAAGATATACATGGAAGTCTGGATACTGAAACACAGAATTACATGGAGAACTTATATATAATCAAATGAACAGCAGTTAATGCTATATTAGGGTTTCAAAACAAAATCTGAAATTTCAGAATCAGTGATGGGTATGAAAGGAATGAGCAGTACTTTATTAAAGACAGTATTCTTATAATATAAAAAACATGTTCTCAAATGTTTCCTAATTTGTCCTGAATATTTTAAAACAAAACTTTACACCTACATGAAAACAATGATCTGAAACTGGTTGTTAATTTGTTACAAAACAAAAACTTCTAGTCACCCCATTATAATTATTCTCTTCTAACAAGAGAACCAGAGGCAAAGAAAATATGCTGACACTACAAAGAATCAAAAAAATTATTTTTTGTTTTACATTTACTATCTCTATATTTCATGATTCTGAAATTTCAGAATCAGTGAAATTTAGGGTTAAATATGGGGATGAGCGCCTTGAAGGTTGTTCAATTTGGGATTAGATATTATGAAATATCTTCCTGGAGGTCTTTAGACATAGGCTGGATTACAAACTGTATGTCTTTCTGTGAACAAGGGAACAGACAAGATTTCTCAAGATCCTGTCAAGTCATTTTCTTTGAAAATGAAAGCCTAATTAAGAGGCTCCCTAGGGACAGGTCAAAGGAATTCTTTTATCCCTACTGCCCTTATCCCAGTTTATCCACGCCTTATTACTCCCCTTTCATTCAGCCTACTTTAAAACTGAAGATACACATTGTGCAAATTTCCACCTTTGCTGCTTCTACGATAAATCCATTATCTATCAGAATTAATTTTAAATCTCTTGTCCCTTATCTCTAAACTGATGCTTATTAGGTGTTTTTTAATAAAGCTTAACACTAAACATTCCTCTAAAACTTGTTTTTTCAATTGGACAAAATTTTTTAATGTTAAACTCTAGGATTACAAAGTCCTTCAAATCTTTTAGTATATCTATTTGCGTTAAATTCCTATTGGAATAATTTAAGGGTGAACATCTTCTTGGAATATTTTAAGGGTGAACATCTCTACCGTAGCAACCTAAAAGCAAGTGATGCACGGTTTAACACTTGACATAATTATTTCCCCGATTTAACGTAATTAATACATCCCTGTGGTAGTAAATGAGGCATGATAGAACATTTTTTGTATCCTCCGCTCTCTAGCTTTAAAAATTAGTGACGTTAATTTGTGTAAGTTTTAAACCACCTTGTAGAGATGAAAATGTTCTATCCAATGATAACAATTGTGTGAAAGAATTTTCCAGTGTTTTAAAACACGAGTGGGCACCACGGCATTCCCAGCAGCGATCTTTCTCCAGACCACGACACAGCGCCACGTTAAAACTTCAAACTTTTGATTTGGGACTAATACTCTAACATTCAGCTGTAAGTTTCCTCTTACCAACATTCATAAGCAACATCTAGGAGGGCAGGCCTCACGATGTCAACCCTCGGACGACCACGACTCCAATCACCATCCCAAACGCTGTACCCAGCCTAGCTCCCGCGGTAATTATCCGTGGCCAGGCCTTGGCGTAACACTATGGTTGCACCTGATTGGTGCACTCCTTGTCAGTCACACGGAGAGGGTGGGTCCTCAAAGCCCGCTCTAAATGAGACGCTATGTTCTTGCGTAATCGCTGAGCGACGAATGCAGGAGAGGGGAGGGGGTGACGTTTGGGGAGTATCTCGGAGTGGCGGGGGCGGCCTGCAAAGGTGTCATGGCTGCTGTCGCTGAGCTTAGTCTCCCGAGCATCGGTGACAGTAGCCTGGAGCGGAGCTGCAGCCCCAACCTCTCCCAAGAGGTGCTCTGTGAAATCTTTCGTTCTCTGCATACCCTGGCTGGACAAGTGAGTGGTGGTTTGTGGGAGTAGGGGTATGGGAGCCATCCGGCCCCTCCCCCCGTTTTCCTCTAGCTGTGGCGGGGAGCCACGGAGGCCTGTGGGGTGTGGGCCCCGGCTGGAGTAGCTGAGGCCAGGGGAGGAGCCCGGACTGAGCAAGCTGCGGCGGAAGTGAGGATGGCCGCACGGGCTTGGTTGAAGACTGGTTACAGATTAGATTTCCGTGCAGCTCTTCTACCTGAGAGTGAGCGAGCATAGCTGTGAGTGAAAACCCGGCCCTGAGAGGAACAGGCTTGGAGAGAGTGAAAGCGGAAGAGCTCTGAGGGTTTGGGAGGCATCTGGCGATCAGGATCCCTTTTCCTCCATTCATTATAAAAACTCATAGGTTAGTACGGCCCGAGATCTGGGAACGCTCTCTCTCCGCCTTTTTTGGATGATTTGCTGTTATGAGTCACTTAGTTTTGCTTATTTCTTTTTCCTCCCCCACCCCCACCCCCATCCCCCCGTTGTGTGCATCTTTTACCTTTCAAACGGGGAGGGAACTAAAAGAAATTAACCTAAAATACTACTAGCATAAGGTTGGTTGTTATCCATGGTTAATACTCTTCGCATCAGAACTGTTGAACTGGTTATCAATTAGTTTAACTGGCTGATAAATAGCTTTTGCGGAAATGTCATACATAATAAAATTGGGTTTAAATAAAAGTGCCACTTACAATCTGTCGAGTCACTATTTCATTATGTAAAATAAAATACAAAGCAAATTTCAAATGAGAAACAACTTGAAAATAAGTTTTGTCTGCTTTTAAAAAGGAAATCTTTTCTGGTATCTTAAACGGAATATTTTCTAGCTATAAAAGTTTGTTACGGGGCTGGGATTGGTGCAGGTAGTAGGCACAGCAGGCTTTATTGTGTCGAAGGTAATGGTAATTCCTTTATGAAAACAGCATTTGCCTCATTTGTGATATAAACACCTTGGCTAGATGGAGAATCAACTTTTAAAAAGGTTTTTAATATTTTAAAAATCCTAATATGTTTTGTTGTGATTTACAAAGAGCATTACTAAGTTAAACAGTTTGGTGGAGTGGAACAACTGTTAATGTAAGCCTGCTAAAAGTTACAAGATTTAAACTCAGTTGTTAGCCAAGGACTTATTACTAAAAAAAATTTCTTTAAAGGTAAGACTAAGACCCAAGACCTGTAAATGGTTGAAAGGCTTTATGAACTTTTTATGGTATGGACCTTAGAACTTTAAGTCATATGTATAGTCTAATGTCAGGGTGAAAAAACTATGCTTATCTATAATTTACATTATTTCTTTTTTCAGTTATGAGTTTTTTTTTAAGTAACATTAAAAAATAGCGTAAACATTTCTTTTGGAATATTTTGCATCCTGAATTTTCAAAACTCATTTAAAAAATTTTAAACATTCAGATATTCTGTAGATACAGGTTACGATTAAAATTTATTTATGTCACCTGTCAAAAATGTTCAGAGTAAATATTTGGCAAGTTTATATGACACAGTGAAGGTACTGTTTACCAATGTCAAAAAATAACGTTGTCTGATCAATTACATGCTAACCATTTTGATAATACTCCTTATATTTTGAGATGTATTGTTTAAAAATAAGAATGAAAACCAGAGTTCTTTACTTATAAAATTGCCCTGGGAGGAAATCACTATTTCCTTTTGCAACAAGTTTGAAGGATGTTTTTAAAAATGTAAGTTGTAATATACCTAAGTAGACTCTGTATAGTATCACCATGTTACTAGCTCTCCTCAATAGGAAACATAAAATTGAATTTTAAAAAGTATTTTATATCCTTGTGTCAAATTTACTGATTTTAATCTAATTGCTTTCCTCTGGATGCCCCATTTACCAAGCTGAAGTATTATTTATTGTTAGCTTGGATTTTCATAATAATTTAATAAAGTTTTTACTGAGAGTGCATATTTAAATAGTCCATATTAATGGCAGACTAATATATTTTTGGGTAAGTGGTTTACCAGTTTCAAAGAGTGAAAAAGCATAGAATTCATATTACTAATGGAATTTGTTGAATAAATAGTTGAATATATTGAGATAGTTTTAATTATGTGGTTTTCTTAAAATACCAAGTATCTTTAAGTGCTCTTGAAGACTTATATAATTCTGAATTGAAATGAGAATATGATCCAAACATTAAGATTTATTTCCTGCAAGTTATTTTTTCCAGAAAATATGATGCTTTGCTTTGGTTGAGGATTTGAATGTTATCCCCAAACTCTATTCAGAAATTTGTTATAATTGACTATCTATGCCTTTGAGGACTGTAAAAGTATAGTAATAGTTTACATCCATACATAACATAAGCTGTTTTCTAATGAAGTCTTTATAGACATTAAATAATGTAAATTAAGATTAATGCAGTAATCTTGAGACCTTAGTTAAATTAATGTGAACTAATCTTTGCCCTTGCAGCCTATACAAAACTTCCTATTTCTTTTACAGTTGTCTAATATGGACTTTAAATGTTTCTGGTTGCATGTTCAGAAGGTGGTAAATTTCTGTCATACAGTATTCATTAAGCATAGTGCCTTTTTTGGGTAACTTTGGAACTCTTTGGTTCTTTGTACAGTGATTCTTCTTTTTGTTTTATTACAATCACAGCTTGTAAGATCAGTATGTGAACTAATGTAACACTTGTCTTTATTTTGTAGAAAACATGACTAATTTTTAATGAATGATTTCTGAAAAAAACAATAATTTAATTCCACTATGCAGTACATCCTTACAGTATGCTTTAAACACATGTCCCTAGAAAAATTTATTGTGGTTCGCTTTTATTCAAAGACTAGAGATGCAGTCTTTATCTCTAAAATTTTCACTGATTTTGATATCAATTTATATCCAGGTTGTTGGTAGTTTTCTGTATGTAATCTTACCTAACAGGTTACACATAGCTAACTTACAAGAAATGGACATACAATGAGCCCTTATGCTACAGTAGAAAGTGCTGTTCTGCAAAAGATCTGGCCATTCCATCCAGTCTCTGACCATTTATTTCACCATTGTGGAAAAGTATTTTTCAATTTTAGATTTCCAGTTACTTAATGGTTTAATTTTCCTTTGAAGTAGACAAACATGTTGACATTTATCCTTAGACTTTATAATATGTATGAAGTCTTGATCTTTAAATTATTTTTAAAATTGGTTAGTTGAAAACAGTAAAAATGTGACTCAAAAGATACCAGAGTAATGATATATTGCAATTAAGTATTTATGTACATATTTAATAACAAGAAATGTATACATCAGAACTTTCATAAATGTGCCTGCCCCTTCTACTTAATGCCCTGAACTAGAAGTTGAAGATTCTGAGTAGGGCAAGACTATCTTGGCCCCCATCCAAAGATTTTTAGGTACTAGCATACTAAAAAAGCCTCATCTTTTCATCTTTTTTGGATAGTTTCTCTCACCTCTTAAGGTGGTCCCTTTACACAGACCCAAGAATAGAATTAGAATAAGATGTCAGTTTGTTCTTTTTTAATGAAAATTGCCCCTTTCTTGGCCTTTTAAAATGATAACTAAGTAGAGCATTTTAATGTGTCATTAAAAACTTGATAACGAGCTAAATTGGCATGTTGCTCTATTGAAATCTTGTTTTTGTGACAATCCCATATGTACAACTTAATTGTGTAATTTTTGTGATGTTGCTGGTTTGCCCCTTTGAAGCTTAACCTCAGAGATGATGTGGTGAAAATTACTATCGATTGGAACAAGCTCCAGAGCCTCCCTGCATTCCAGCCCTCTTTGCTCTGTAGTGCACTTGAGCAACACGTTTTATATTTACAGGTAAATTTCTTGCTAAAAATGTTAACTAGATATTGGAAGTAGAAGTTAATTGTACTTAAATTATAAACTGGAGTATTTGTCAGTTCCTCTTAACACCATATTAATAGTGTTATTAATAAAAGGTTACTTCAATCAGGTTTGATCCAAGTCTGTTCATTTACTTGGTGATCAGGACAGTTACAGGCGTATAGCCCAGTAGGCCTATGTGGGTGTGAAGACTGAATGAATTCAATTCTGTTCAATTCTAGACTGGCACCGAAAATTCAATACAGTAGCATCTATGGTGGGTTATAATTAAGCAATAAGACACGGCAGGTGTGTGTCATGCTATGATAATGATTCCAGGCCTTGGGTGAGTTTGGAGGCTCATGGAGTGCTTTCAGTGGTTCAAGAAGTGGCATTATCCCAGCATGACACATCCTGGAGTGTCTACTGCAATTAAACAGTTTCAGCATAGTTTTTAAAAAGAAAATAATTTCTGTGACATTAATGTCTCATCTTAGTAAGTAGCCAGTCACTATCTTATCTTTTTTCTTTAATAGTTTGAAATAATTGATATTTTACATTAGAAATTAACACTGAATTGTTAGTTTATAAAACTATTGCTAAATTTTTTAACATTTCAGTTCATTAACTAAACAGTGTTATGTTCTTGCTGGTTTCCAGTTGAATATCTCTGCAATTATAATTGATGTAAGTTTCTAGTTTATCTCTATTGGAACTAAAAAACATGAATTGCCGAAAGGGAAGTGGAAGAACTGTTTGGATTGGTCAGTTTAGGGCTTATTAAGATGTTACAAGGTTTCAAAAGAGTATTTGGTACAGCAAACAAGGGAATCAAAAAATAGA